AGCACACTTGTTTCGTTGTTCCATACCATGTGCGATGATTGTGCAAACGCATACAATTTGATTCTCGACAACGTGTTTCTTATCCTATCATACACACTCACTTGTAGAGAACCATGTGCGATTTAACTAAGCACGGCCAAATAAGATTGTCAAATTGAAATAGTTATACAAAAAGAAAATTCGCGAGAATATGCACAAATATTGCCCACGTTATTGTAGGATTGAAAGGCGTCTAGAGGGGTGATGGATAGAGATTAGCAAGGACCAATTAGCAATTATAATGTTTCATAACTTTTAGGTAGATTTTGGCATCAGCTAAATAGCAACAAGTATAGCCTACACATGCATATCTAGAGTATGGGCAGTGAAAAATAACAATCATGCAAATGTCAGTAGTTAGGTACTAGAGTTTGAGATTCCAAAACAAAGGTTGACTGGGAAGATTTTTGGCCCGTGGTTCCGATATATGGTGCTATCATACGTCCATGTTGATAGTGGCTTCAATCTCCCATATCAATGATCTCAGGGATAACGGTTGCGAGATTCCACGAGGGAATCGAATCCATAAAGGGCTCCACCCAAAAAGGGTCCACGAAGAAGCAACTTTGCATATCCCATCATGGCTTACGCCCAAGAGGGAGTAGCCTCATTTCGGGTAGATCTTCACGAAGTAGTCGATCTTCTTGCCCTCACAAACTTCTTGGTTTCTTCACGAGATTTGAAGACTCCCAAGAACACCTAGTCAATCTAGGAGGCGCCACCCTCTAAAAAGTAATAGGTGGGTTTGTTGATGATGTACTTATTGCTCTTGTGCTTCAAAAGATAATCTCCTCAACACTCAAACACTCTTTCACGGATTTTGGCCTTGGGATGGGAGAGGGTTTGGGTAGAAAGCAATGAGATGACTAGAAGTCAAGGTTCTATGGCTGGAGTGGAACCCCTGTGATCTCAACAGAAGGATGCGGAAATCTCTCTCAGAAATATGGGTATGGAATGTTTATGCTTCCCTCTAGTTGCTCTTTGAGAGTTTGGTGGAGTGGGTGGGGTATAGCAGCACCAAATCCAACCATTACACATCTTTATGCACTATTCAGTGGGACCGGGTGAAACCACTCAGTGAGACCAATCAGTACAAAAGGTTTGAACTTTAGGCATTTTCAATCAATGAGACAGGGTGAAAACGTTTGGTGGCTCCGAGTTGTGATGACTAAGCACCTTCCGTACTTCAGTGTCACCGACTAAAACCGCTCGGAAATTCCGAATGAATTTCAGTTGAAAACAGAAGGTTGGCAAGTGCTCTTCGTGGGAGTGAAGTGTTAACTCGATGGAACCGAAGTTCTAGGGTTTAGGCAACGACTATGTCATGAATGGCTCAATGACTCTAGGTGTGTCTCTTTCAGTGAGTCTGGGTTTCACTTAGGGTTTGTGACATAGTAGAATGTGAGAATTTGAATGAGGCTTTTGGAGCTTGATGTCTACGCGCTTGAGTAGTGAGTCCATGATCACAACTTCATCCCCTTTTGATATGGCATACCTATGGATTCAGTGTGATCTTGGATCGCTGAAACATAAAATGGAGTCTTGGGGCTTGGCCAACACTTGTACTTAGTATCTTGAGGGGTCCACATTCACTTTCCAAAGTTTTGCCTAAGTTGAACTTCCTGAAATACTCTCAAGGAAAACATTAGTCCAACAATATGTGTGTTGACATGAATTACCGAACGATCAAGGGGGTGAATGTGCTTTTAACCTCTCCCTTTTTTGTAATTGATGACAACATAAATCAAAGCTGTAATGAAGAAATATTAATTGAAGAACAATATGAAGTTTTGACAAACCTGAGATATATAGGAGCTCCCCCTAAGATTAGGCATATTTAGAATTTTTCTTTTGGAATGCAAATGCACAATTGAATAGGTACCGGAGACTCTTCTATATCACATGAATCTTGGTGGAGTGCATAGCAAAGGGACATGAATCCTAGCTAAATACATATATTTACAACAAGAAAGAGATGACATTAAAGTGAAAGATACACACACAAAACTGAAATACCAAGCAGGGATTCATGAAGAGATAAACTTGTGAAAATAAGGTCAGAAAACACAAGGATCTCACTGAGAACATGAAAAGTACTGCAATTAACTAAGATAGGGAAGACATGCATAAGAATGAGTACTACTTGTATGAAATTTAATGTTTCCAAAGAATTTGACTGAAACAAATTCAATAGGATCTTAATAAGATCCACCCCCCCCCCCTCCTATTGGATTTCTTCTCCCCGTGTATCATGAGACTTTTATTGGGAGTAGGTTTATGAGGTAAGAGAAAATCTTGATAAATATCAAATAACAATTTCAATACCAGTTTCTCCCGATGTGCATATCACTTTTAATAGAAAAGTTCTCACCCCTTTAGATATAAGCTTTGATGTGCACATCTCTTTCCCTTTGACATCAATTTCCAAGAAGGGTTAAGTCCTCTTGTTTGTATATGTCAAATGGTAAGGATTATAAATTTGCACAAGAAGTGTCATGGTAATTTGGAGAGTTTGTAATAGAGGGTCATTGAGTAAAGCCCGGAAAGTATAATTCAATAGAAAACGTTTGGCAAACTTTCTCTTATATGTGCAGTTTGGAGTCTCCAAGCAGAATCAATTGGATTTTTCGATGGCTAGTTAATGATAAGGAACATGCTTCGATGTTACCTTAGCATTTTTCGTCAGTCTGACCGACGTGCCATGGAATAGTCGATTGAATATTTCGGTTTCACCAAGTGAGTGAGTTTCATTCGGTATGACCGAGAATTAAGATTGTAGAAGGTTCAACTCTGGTGTCTCTGAAATTTTTTCTTTTGGAGGGACTGATTACACTTA